CGACTGCAGCCCGCCCCGCCCGGCTTCTCCTCAGCAGGCCGCGCGGGGGAGGCCTGTCCGCCCGCAGCCAAACCCCAGCGGCGCCGGCTTTGGGGACCCCGCTGGAGGCCGCCGCAGCGCCGGGTCTCGGACGGACGGGAGCGGGAGCAGGATCAGGCTCCGCGGCGGCGGCGTGTGGGGGGCGCTTAGGCCCTGCTTTACACACCCCACAAACCGCCGCTTGCAGTAGTGGGGTTTCACCGCGCTGTCTGAGTGGGGCGCACACTCCTTTTCCTTTCTGGGAAATGTTTTGTGTTCCAAGTCTAATCGGTTCTCAATCTTTTTGACTGAGCAGCGCTCAATCGTTCAATTGCAGTCTGTGTGGCGCTACTACCAAGAAGTATCCTCAACCCCGGGCTTCTCAGCCGGGGGCTTCAGATACTCCCAAATCCACTGGTGGGCGTCCTACGTGCAGGCCCAAGCCCAGAGGCTTGGGGTTCAGATGCCCGAGTCTCGCTTGCCATTAGCCAGTGGCCACAGGAGCAAGCTAACAAGGAGTCGCCCATTTCCATAACGTAGGTGTGTGCTGAGATCCTCCTGCTGGAAGCCGGCCAGCGGGAAGCTAATTACAAGACTCGTAGGGCGTCCTGCCCGCGGTGCATTGGACTTGATGCACCCTTTGCTACACAATGCTATTTAAATCCATCTCAGTCTAAGCAACAGAGCAGTGTTGCCACTACACTTGATTTTAGCCCACAAGAGGCCGAAGGGATCCACGCTTGATCTGAGCCACAAGGCCCCTGAGTTTATTTTCCATGCCTCAGTGCAGCAGCATTGCTTTATAGCGGGGGGCCTGAGACAGGAAGACGTTAGGGCCCTACTAACAATGCACAATTCTAGATGGGGAAAGGCCTCTTTTTTTTCCCCCAAGCCTAAACCTACAATGAAGCCCTGCACTCAGAAGAAGAGGCTGGTTCTTGCTACCTATGAAATGTTGGTTGAAATCTTTTTGTCCAGTGTCACATAATAACTGCACAGCAGAGACAGGGATAGAATCGAATTATCTAGGGCAGGGTGTTAAATTCACATTGGGCACCAGGCTGTATCCAGACTATGGGGGCTACTTGGGGACCGGATCCAGCCCAGGGCATAGCGGGGTGCCTCATGGGGACAGCAACAGCAGTTGCAGCAGGATCATGGGATCATAGAAAATTAGGGTTGGAAGGGACCTGAGGAGGTCATCTAGTCCAACCTCCTGCTCAAAGCTGGACCATCCCCAACTAGATCATCCCAGCCAAGACTTTGTCTAGCTGGGTCTTAACCTCCGGGGATGGAGAGTCCATAACCTCTCTAGGTAATTTTGGCTGATATAGGAGATTAGGTGACTGCAGGGCAATGAAAGGCTGTGTTATGCAGCCCTTGCTTGTCCCTGCCACTGAGGTCCATGTCCACTGGGGTCCCAGGTTTCTGAATTCTGTAGCAGGTCCCGTCCACCACTGGCCACACATGCAGACTTCATAGCTTGGCAGGCTGGATGGAGTGACTCAGCGGGTTGGATCTGGTCTGTGGGCCAGATGTTTGACACCTTTGCTTTAGGGAACCGTTCAGAAGCTTCAACTTTGAGACTGTTCTCTGGTGCTGTAATCCCCCTCACTTTGAGACTGTTGTCTTTTGTGAAGAACTGCAGGCAAAAGAATGAAAGAGCTGAGAGACCTGCAAAGAAAAATGCAGGGGCTACTGAAGGAAGGCACAGAAGGAAGACAGGTACAAAAAGAATTAGAAGAAACAGGGCAAACGATAGAAAGATGATTTAAAAGAAAGATAAATGAGAAAATGTTTTTAGCACAAGCACCCCGAGTGGGAGAAAGCAAAGAGTGGTCCTAGTACTTTTCAGCTAGGGTGAAGATGGCAAAATGAGCTAAAAGCAGCGTGAGGTGGTTAGGGCCAAATTAACACATAGGCAAACTAGGTACATGCCTAGGGCCCTGAGCTGTGGGCGGGGGGCCGGAACTTCCCTCCACGGCAGTGGTGTGAATGGCCCCATCGGCCTCCCTTCCAGGTGGGGTTGCTGCTGCCCCAGGGACCTGCATGCCTTCACCAGCCTCTGACTTGCTCCGGGCACCAAGGGGGGGAGGGCTGCAGATGAGCGGGAGTACGGACCTTGGGCCAGGATGTGGATGCTCCCCACACTCCCCGCCCGCCCCAAATGATGCACAGCCCTGCTGCCAGCAGTGGCAGCATTTGTGGCCCGCACAGGCCCAGGTGCAGCTCTGGCCAGTGCTGCACAGCAGGAGCAAGGAGCACAGCTCTGCTGACTGCCTCTCTTTCTCCATGTGGCTCATGTGCAGCTCCTCACTACTGGGGAAAGCCTAGAGCCTCTGCCTTCCCTGCCCCCTGCTGTACAGGTTGTGGGAAGCAGGGCAGGGTAGGCAGCAATGTTCTAGCCCACATTGCTTCACCCTGGTAGTGTGGAGCTGCACGGAGCCTGGTACGAGAGAGGTGGCTGGTGGGGCTGTGCTCTTCACCACCGCTGCACAGTGCTGGTCAGAGCCGCGTGTCATAGGGTGCTGGTGCCTGCGTGGGCCGCGAGGGCAGCTGCTGCTGGTGGCGGGGGCTGTGCACCATGGGGTGGAGTGTGTGGGGGTCTCCACACCCTCCCACTCACATCCTGTCCCCACAACCCCGCTCCTACATATACATCCCGACATACCCTATTGCTCCCACCCACACACCTCCCAACCCCTCTCCCCTTTCTTTGCTTCATAGATTCATAGATGTTAGGGTCAGAAGGGACCTCAGTAGGTCATCGAATCCGACCTCCTGCCCTGGGCAGGAAAGAGCGCTGGGATCAGATAACCCGAGCTAGGTGCTTGTCCAGTCTCCTCTCGAAGAACCCCCGGGGTAGGGGAGAGCACCACCTCCCTTGGAAGCCCATTCCAGATTCTGGCAATCCTTACTGGAACATGTTGGGTTTATTTTGGGCTTGTTTTTAAAGGCGGTGCTGCTTTTTTTTTCTTGTGAGACTTGGCAACACTGCTTCCAGCCCCACTCCCCATGGGTGGCAGCACTGGGGTGGGGAGGGGGATCTTGACCAGCCCAGGGCCCATGAGTTTGTTGGCCTAGGGCCCAGTAAGGGGTTAATCCAGCCCTGAAGGTGGTAGTCCCCAGGTGGAAAAGCAGAATGAGTTGTTGGAGGCAATGAGAACATTTTATGAAGAGCTGAATCAGAAGAAGGAAATAGTAAAGAAGATGATGGATTTGCTGGAAGAGACTGAAGAGAAAGTGGAGGAGTAGGAAGAAAAGATAAACTTAAAGGAAGTGGAGGTGTACTTAAAAACCTTTAAGGGAAATCACCAGGAGCAATAAACTAACTATGGAATTTTATGAGAAGTTTTAGGCATGGGTATAGCGGAAGTTTTTGAGGAAATAGCAGAAATAGGAGAGGCAGGGAAAGATTTTACAAGAGGTTTTGTGATCTTACTTTTTAAGAAAAGGGAGAAGGAACTCCTGAAAAACCGGAGACCGATTACACTCAATATGGACTATAAGTTAATGGGCAAGATTCTGCACTACCGTTCCTTTAATTTTGTAGGGTCTCTGTGTGCCCCCCCCCCGAGCTGCTGATTGGTGGAAGGGCCCTGTGGGTCAATCCCGATTGGCAGGTTACTGAAAACTATAATTTAAAACTTGGTGATGTTTTTGCCTCCCCACCGGTCAGCAGCAAACAGCAAGGCCACCAGGGCCCCTCGGCCAATTAGCGGCAGGGAGGCAAAAATGGTGCCAAGTTTAAAATTATGGTTTTTGCTTCCCTGCCAATCAGGAGTGAGCCGCAAGTGGAGCCCCTCCACCAATCAGTGACAGGGGATGCAAGGGGATCAGCCCATTTCTGCCATGAATCTGGTAGGTATCTACTCATATCCTCCTATGTTACCAAAGGTAAATTTACAATTCCATCCACAGTATCCTCATGCCTTATTCCAAATACAGTGCAGAAACAGCTATTGAATATTTTTGCACTTTGAACAGTATTGTTAATGATTTTATCATCTACATTTACAAACAGATGTGTAGTTGACAGAGGGATGTTTTTGTCTAGTATGTTTTTAAATGTCTGCATGTCCTGATTTTTGTATTTTATAACCATAACGTTCTTTAAAAATAGGCTTTTAATTATTTATATAATTAACAAACTGCTGTGTTAGTGTCCAATGGAAAAGGTCCATGCCTCGATGAGCTTACAACTGGACAGACAAATGAACAGATAAGAGACAACATTTATGCTGGAGGCATCTTGCTTAATAGTTTTTGTTTAATTTTTTAATCACTTATCTTAAGTCAACTTTCATGAAGATTAAATGCAGAGGCATAACTGGGCAGCTTTATGCCAAGGATGGCCATTAATGTTGTAGCAGGGCACCTTTGGGTGGTTTGGAGGCTCCTGGCCCTGGGCATGACCTAAAACTGCACCCTGCTGGGGAGGGGTGGCCTGGTGGGGCTCCCAGTGGTGCAGGAGTCCCCAGGAAATGCCAGGCCAGTTACCTCCCCTGTGAAAAACGAGGAGGGATGCCTTAACCCCAGCCCCGATCTTTGGGTGGGTTTTGTAGGCTGCTGGGGAAGTAGTGGG